ACGGACCTTAAGACCACAGGTTCTGGTGCTGCTGTGACAGGAGGTGCAGTTTTCATATGAATAGTGTATCTGTGCAGTGATGGAAAAACGCTGGAAGAGCACTTTTGACTCTCTCTTGTTGGGATAAGTCAGTTGATAAATGTCGTCCCTTCCTTGGAAGTCCTTTTATTTATCTGATAAATTTTCAAACTTGTGTGTTTGCTTCATCTTTGTCCAACTTGTGCTGCTGCACTAAATACTGGGTAACTCCATTGACCCAGAACACAGCAATTCACTCATCGTTCCTAGAGGGGAAAACAGCCATTTGGGAGCGAAGCAGCACTTCCAATGTGTCCTCCTTGTGTATTTAACAGGACAGAATTGGTAACAGGATCTCATGCGCAACTATAGCGGCGGATATGCAGAGCCTGCTGTAATTAGCCCTCACTTCAACAAGCCATTGAGGCTTCGGGCTGGGGGTAGGGATGCAGAGAAGAAGAAAACACTTGTGCTGTATTGAGCAAGGTTTCCACAGAGGGGTGAATCTTTCACCTGTCATACTACCGTATGCAGACAACTGTAATTATGGTTAGGCACCCAGCATCATCCTTTACAGAGTTATATTCATTTTTATTGGTGGCAATTAATCTCTAGTCATATTTTCAAAGGAGAAAAAGTGATAAGTTAGCACGTTTGCCAGGGAACGTTAGCACGTGACCTGAAATATGGCAGCTCCCTTTAATGTAGCGTCTCCCAAGAGAACGCTAGCTATTTCAGACTCATCTCTCATGGTATTGACATCCACACGTGCAGTCTAAAGGGAGCATTTGTACCTCCCTGACATCACCACTCTCAGGTTGCTTTTCTTATTGATGGTATAGTTAAAGTCTCTGTATCATTTTGACATTTTTAATGGCATATGCATTTACAGTGTAGCTCTTGTGTAAGCTTTAATCAGCTTTCTGTTCACATGTTGTTGCTATTATTATTTATCTCTATTATGGTAACACAGAGAGGCTATCAACAAGAGCAGGATTAAACTGTGCTAGGCTTGGGTTGTATTTTAAAATGGCCTCTCTGTGCCCATAGGAGAAGTGGTGCTGACGATCCTGAAGTGCAGCGGGCTGCCGTGGCTCTGAGGCTGCTTTGCCCTGGATCTCAGAAACTGGAATCACTATCACACACCAGCTAGGATTTGCCATACTGATGTGCATAGAAGAAATGTCTTGGTTGCCAAAGTCTTTGGTTTCTTCTGTTTTTTAATTTTCTAATGGAACTATTAGATCCCAATCCCATAGCTAGTTATGCACTTGAGAAGTCTCACACACGAGTGGTCTGATTGAGCTCAGTGGAATTATTTGTATGAATAAGCACTTGGATTTAGCTTATCAATTCTGTATCTGCCTGCCTTTGTAAAGGTACAGAAGGTACCACAGTCCAGATCCAGGAGTTATCACAATATACATATCACATAATGTCCCAATGAAATCACATAGGTAAAGAATTTACTTGCAACTCCATAGTCTGTCGCTGCAATATGGGACTTAAAAGAAAGGGGAAAAGAAAACCAACAGGAATTGATAAACTTTGAACAACAAAGATCTTATTTTCGTGTGAGATTACTGCAGTGTAAAATCGGGTGAGGACAATACTTCATTATCACAAATTTTACACTAAGACACTGCCAATGACTTTCACTCAATTCCCTTTGCAATTAATCAGCAGTGGATGAATTGATACTGCATTAAATGGCTCTGCTCATTGTGACATGTATAGGGCTTGAACTGATAGCTAAAAGCAGAAAATCTTTACCATCTGAGGTAAAGACTTAAATCTAGAAGAGGCCAACTTGTCATTGTGTGTATATGATCCCGTCACTAGGGAGACAACGGGATGTTCACCTTGGCTATACACACATACTATGTTCACCTTGGGTATACACACATGCTATTACTTGGGTTTCAAACCATTTCGAGAACTGTAGTCAAAACGTGCTTGCAGTTTTAGGAACACAAAAAGGAGCCTGATAAGTGCAAAGGCTGTGTCAGGCATTGTCAATGAGGCCCGGTACAAGCCCCATCTTTCCGTAAGTCTATTTTTTTCCGTGTCTTTCATGAGCATTCAGATGTACTTTAATCCTCATTTTTATGTCCTCTCCCTAATAAATCCCCATGAAATTCACATTCTTAGTAGCTATCTGGTATGCCAAGCTGTTTTATTTCATAGATAATTAAAACATTTTGGCTAGCTACTTTGAGCTAAACATACTGAATGTTACAATGTGTGCTCACTGATGACTTGTACTTAGAAGCCTTTGGAAAAATCTAACTGCCAGCTGGTTTTCTGGTCACTGCAGGCTTCTTTTATTATCCAGATTTGGGTTTTTATGATTTTACAAGCAATTAGAGGAATTTCTGCTCTTTACTTCAGTATTTTGCTCTTCCCTTTGGCTAGATTGTGGAGTGAAATTTGGTACAGAGAGAAAGCAAGCATGTGACCAACTATAAATAGTAAATAAGTGTTCAAATAAGATTGATTTACATAAAAGGAGTGGTGTTTAGGGCAGACAGTGTAAATATGAAACAAGATGCTTGAGGTGACAATGGGAAATGGTTTTCCCTTCCCATCAAAGGTTTGCTTTCTCCTTCACTTTCTTTCAAAGTGAAAAACAAAAACCAAGCAGACAAATCTGATGATTGGAGCACTCACCTGAGACATGGAAGACCAAGGATAGAAGTCACATCTTCTAATGAGTGTTATTTATTCATATTAAGCAAATTAATTGCAGCTGGAATTATATCAGCCCAGAGCAGCCCACACTCTGGCAGTCAGAGCTTTAATGTGAGGAGCAGCAAGGTAGGAATCAAGTCCCTGAAGCAGGCAGGGTTAATTTTGATTCCTGCATTCCACTTCCCCATGCAAAGGGCTATCGGCTGTGCTTGCGTGGTTCAGATTTGTACCCTTTGTGGTGGTGCAGAACTGCATCCCTTGGCATTCAAGTTCTGCGGAAAACAAATCAGTGTTTCTGGAACGGAAATTGCTGGGAAACTCCATCAGCTCCAGCAGATTTGCTCCCTGCCCCAGAAGGCTTACAGAGTCTTAGCGAATGTCTATGTGAAATAAAGATAGATCATCTCTTTCCACAGATTCTCAGTAATAATTTAAGACTTATAAAGAGTAAGATTTTGTTTGCTCGGCTCCCAGCAGTGTTAGTGAGGAACTATCATCCCTGTTTACAGCTGTGGGAAAAATGAGGCAAAGCAGTAAAATATCTCGTGTGAGGCACAAGCAGGATTATGCACCGGGGTAGGTTGCATGCTCTGCTTTCTGCAGGACACAAACCCATCTCCCTCTGAACGTGCATCCTGTAAGACCCTGCAGATCCTTCTGGAGACCCTGGAATTGTCTTCTCATGGGTTTATTTTGGCCTTTAATAATGTTGCTCAAGAAACACGAGTTTGTAAATTGGTAATCAGCAATTCTAGTTGAGTAAAGTCTCTTTCTCTTCTTTTTCTGCTGAGTATCCTCAGACTGACCAATGAGTATTCCGCTTCTCAAGGAGAAGGACAAAAAGATCGCTGAAATGAACTGATAGATATAGCTGTCTGCTGTGGGTTTATAGCCATGTGCTGTAGAAGGTGAGGGCTATGAAATTTCTAGGACAAGAGCTTCAGGCTTAAGTAGGCTTTACATTTACCTTGCTAAGTCTGGAAACAGATCCAGGCCTGAGAAGCAACAAGTGTCACCTGGGGATTAGTTTACGTGTTTGCAAATAAAAGAGTTGGTGAAGACAGCTCTGCTGCTGGGATTACGCCCTCGTTTCCTGCATGGCAGTGGATTTTACACTAGCAGAAGAGTTGTTGGCATAATTGAAACCAGCTCTCTGAGCACAACCAGCTGTACCTGGAAAATGATCTGTAACTGTGTCTTTACCAGGGATTTTGCCAGCAACTCTATTCTGAATAGAAAGATGATTTTCTTCACCCTTGACATAACTAGATTTAAAGGCTACTGAGCGGAGGGTAGGACTACTGAAGAAATCCTTCGTTTTCCACTGACCATTTACTGAGGAAACCTTAATCTCTGGGTGTTCGCGTTGAGCTGTCTGTTTAGTATCTGTACATCTTAAACGGGTGTTTTGCAGGTGCTGTTTGCTGTTTCTATAGCAAATCGGGATCAAACTGTTTCTGTAGTGCTGACTTCCCTCTCTCATCCTGTGTATGGTCCACAAACAAGGAGAAGGGATCAGGCAGGATTGTCGTGTGAAGGGTTCTCACTGTGCTTTAATGCACTCAGTAGGGAACCTCCCCGCTGTGTCGATGGCCGTAAGGTCTGGGGCCCTTCTGTAATGCTAGTACATACTGTTACTAGCACAGAAATTACCTGACATACACACTCCGTACCTTCATCCCTAAGCCTGGTTTAAGCAGCCTCATGAAACCCCATCTCCAGTGTTATTTTCTTCCCTACCATCTCTTTGCTCCAGAAAACAAAACAAAACAAAACAAAAACAAGCCAAAAAAAACAGCAACAAAAAAAAGCAACACCAAAGGAGAAAGTCTTCTTTAGATTATCGTATTTATTATCTTATGGGAACAGTGCAAAGAAACAATATTTGATGACATTATTAAACCTAGAGGATTTGCTTGGCAATACTACCTGCCATTAACTACACTGCAGTCAGGATGTGATTCTCTGCATCTAACGCCACTATAAATTCATTCCTTCCAGCTATCTAAGAGCACTAAGAAACAGGATATTAAAAGATTTAGGTCCTGATCCAATAAAGGTGTTAAACAAGTCCTCAAATTTAGGTCTATAACTCGTGCTGTTGTCTCCTTGCATGCTAAAGAACATTCCTGGATCAGGGGGGTAGTTTTAGAAAGTTTGAGGGCCCTTTAGCAAGTTCCTGGTATTAACAGAGCCACTGCCTGCTCGCCAACCTAAGCAGAAGAGGCTGAGCTGAGATGCTTGCGACGCACTTTCCTAATCATCTTGGTAAAGGACTGTATGTTTTCCAGGTTGCGATAGCGAGCACTGGGGACCCCACTGCAGCAACCGCTGCCAGTGTCAGAATGAGGCTCTCTGCAACCCCATCACGGGTGCCTGCGTCTGCGCCGATGGGTACCGAGGATGGCGCTGTGAAGAGCTCTGTGACCCTGGGAGCTACGGCAAGGGCTGCCAATTTAAATGCCAATGTCACAACGGAGCTACCTGCGATCATAAAACAGGAGAATGTCACTGTGCTCCCGGATACACGGGGGTATTGTAAGTTCAATGATAGGTGTATTTTACTCTACATCATTTAACAGCCTTGCTTTGACCGCTTTTAATGCAATGAGTAATTGGCAAAATTTACACAATCTCTGTATTACACACTTCCCTTTGTAGAAATCGGGTAACAAAATTTCAGAGAGACTAAATAAAGGGAATCTCTTTTACTGCTAGTTATACCCGTCTGCATAATAAAATAAAATTTAGTGCTAAAGTGAACTTAAAAATCCATTATATTTTCCAGCTTGTACAACAACTGTACCTGTTCCTAATTTCAGTATGTGAATACAATCCAAATTACAGTTGAGTTTTTATAAGCAATTGGACATTCAACTCATTAGCAGTCCGGTGCAGTATCAAATGGGACTTACCATCCCCAATTTATTTGACTTTCAATCTAACTGAGGAAGCATTACTGTTAACTATATCAGCTTACTATCTAGGGGGTAAATTTTTAGCATAGTGAGCAGGGATTTAGCGGTGCGACTCCTATTAACTTTAACGAGATCATGTAGCTAAATCCCCATCCACCACACTGAAAGTTTACCGGTAGGATTTGCAAAATCTGCATATTAATTTTAGGACAGCAAGCAATAGTTTCTTGTTTAAAATTGCCCACAGTGTAACATCAGTTCTCATTAGAGATCTTTCAGTAGTTTCAGAAGTAATTATGTTTTTCAAAATTATTTAAGGGGAAAAGAGAATTTAGTCACTGAATTTGGTTGGAGATCTATTACAGGTGACTTAATACTTTTGCAGTCTAATATTATTTGTTGACCTGCATGAAGGGGAAGGTAAAAAATAAAGACAACATTAACCCTCTTAAATAAGTGATATGCCTTTTGAATATTTTATTTAGTACCTGATTTCCTCATGGACTTGTGACCTCAGTCCTGGAAGCACTCACTGTTAAAGACTCTGCTTACTCTTAGGAGTGGTTCCATTGACATTACTATGTCATTTCTCAGCAGTGAGTACTTGCAGGGCCAACCACAAATGTGTTATATGAACATCCTCATCAGAGGACAGTCCGTTAGGGGAAGAACCTACTGTAGTTTCAGAACCTGGGATTAGAGAAAGAAGCAGTGCTGAAAAGCACCAATGTACAAATGTAGGAGACGCTGGTTTTTGCAGGGACTGGCCTTACACTGGCCCCCCATGAGCACTGAGAGAGACCCAACAAGCTTAAATAGCCTTTAAATGATGCTGAGAGTTCTTGCCAGTCCCTTATACACTGAAAATGTTAACATTTAGTAGTGACTGGAGAAATTTCAAGCATTTTAATCCCATCCTTTTATTCTGTTTGCAGCTTCTTTTATTGCCATGTCACATAATTCACACCGAGGGCTTCATCCTACAACTCTTACTTTCCTGGGCTATTTTAATGGATATGAGTTGTCCTGTTGAGATGGGTGGAATTTGGTATGTGCATAAACAATACACACATGCATCAGCCTCGCAGGACTGGATCCATGGCACATAAATAACCCCAGCAGAAATAAAAGAAATCTTGGCCAACTGGTAATGCCAGCTGAGGCTTACTGAGGTTTCATAATTTGCATAAGGACTCCCATGATGACCTGTGTTGTGGATTTTCCTCATTTACTGTTTCCTGTAAGTTCTCTTAAATGATCTCTTTGGTTTTTGTTTCTTCTCTGTCCACAAAGGTGTGAAGAGCGCTGTCCCCCAGGCAGCCACGGAGCTCAGTGTGAATTGCGCTGCCCTTGCCAGAACGGCGGAGTGTGCCACCACATCACTGGAGAGTGCTCCTGTCCTCCTGGGTGGATGGTGGGTAGTTTGTTCATACTCATCCCTCATTTAGAGGTTGGAATGGGAAGTTAATTGTTCACTGTCTCGGCAGACTCCTTCCCTGTCTGCTTGTGATGCATATCTGCTATTTCTTGTCACAAGGCTCTAACAATTCTGAAACTGGGACCACCTTTGTTATGTGTGCACAGCACTTACACAGACAGGCCACCAGTCTACAACTGGTAGCTACCATCACAGAGTTAAACAAAGAACAGTAAACCAAGCAGTGACTACCCATCGCACTTCTGTGTGGGAGAAGAGACAAAAAAATTGTCTCTGAATTAGAGCTCCTTGGAACACTCCCTGCACCCTCAGCCACTGCCCTCCCGCAGGACAGAAAGCTCAAAGCTCAGCTCAACATATTGCCAAAAGCACTGTCCTGTTTCCCCTTCAGGAGAGAGGGAGAGGGAGAAGCCAGGGGGAATTCAGTGGCTCAGGCAGTCGTTAAAGCAGGACTATACATAGGACACAAAGACCAGTTCAGCCTCCTGTCCTTACTCAGGCAAAATTCCCATTGATCGCAATAGATTTGCTTGCAGCAGGGGTTGCACTGGAGAGAGCAACTTGCCCTAACCTTTAATCCTTTGTGTCAAGAAAGCAAGACCAAGCATTTTAAAAGTCCTCAACTTTATCAATAATGTAATAATTAACTCTCTTGGGGTTTGCCAAGTCTCGCAGGCCTACATGCCATTTAGCTGTACTAAGTTTCCTGGCATTTTTCCTGTGTCTGACAATTAGTCTCTTGGCAATCTTGCTGGATTTTAATGCATACAAGTACTGTGACTTTTTATTTTAATATGTGGAAGACCCTGAAGATCATCATACAACTATGGCTTCTGATGTGGGCCTTATACCTGCTGAAACATTTAAGGGCTGAGAGAGATGTTTATGTTCCTTTAGATTAGTTCAGCAAATGCTGCCTCCGTTTGATCACACAGCTGCTTTTAGTTAAAAAGTACCAACCATGAGATTCTGGTGGCTATCAGGCAGCAACATGGGAGAAGAACACTGCTGCCCATCGTTTTTGGTGGAAGCTGTGTACGGAAAATCTCTCTCTAACTGGAGAGTTAGAGTCTCTCTAACTTGGCCAGTCATGGCAAAGGTGGTGATGATGTTATCCCATTTCAAATGACAAAGCAAGCAAAACTTTTCAGGAACTTAAGTAAGAATATGGCACCTTACCCTCAATTGGCACTCAGTGGAGGCAAAGAAAAGGTACTTTCCTAAAGAGTACTGGCGCTAAAGCATAAAGGAAACAATTCAAATATTTTTGAGGGCCTATCAGTCCATTCTGGCACTACCCCTAAGAAGTGATCGATAAAGTGATTAACGTAAAAATATTATTTTTAGGGTATTTTTTTCACCTCCCCTTATCTTCTGCATGCCAGTATTTGTGAGAATCTGAGTTGTTTTGCTGTCCTCTTCCTTACCTGTATTTTATCAGGAGTTTTCTCTTTTTTTGCAAAGTTAAAAGATCACTAAAGAGATATGAGAATATCGGAATAGAGCAGGAAGTTTTTAGAGGTCTTTTAGGATGCAGCATAAACCCTGAAGAAGAACCACAGCACTGGGGCTGCACAGCGTCTGTGGTCATGTATTCTGGCCCACTTCTGCCCTGTTCCTTACAGCCTGGAGTTTCTTCTCTGCATTTTTAGTGGCCCAGAGAGACTTTCCTGAAAACTGTGTTGTTGGCTGCTCTGTCCCCAGAGAAACCCTAGAGTTAACAACTGATGTTTGAAACAAGCATAACTGAAAATTGAAGAGAGAGATCAAGTATTCTGGGGAAAGAAACTGAAATTATAAGTAAAAGCACTCAGCTTGTAAATGTTGCGATTTTAAGTATAAAGGGTCTCTCCAGGGTTTTAATGAAAAGCTGGTAATTCAGTACACAGGGAGAGAAAAAATATTTTTTCATGCTATATTTTTAACTCTTGGTGGTTGGAATGGCTTGGGAAGTGAGACATGAGTGGGCTGTAAACGAGCGAGCAAGATGGGATTGCTAGACAGCATTCATTTTATTTCACACCATGGATAGTCTTTCTTTGACATCAGGAATTTTACTTGCTGATTTTGAGGCTTGAGACTGCACATATGTATTGAATATACCATCATGTTGGAAGGAGAGAATTCTCCCTGGATTTATACAAGTGCAAATCCACTTGGATTTTATTGCTGCTGGATGAGCTGAGACTTTTATCCTTTCCTAGGGCAGGCTTGTTAACAGCAGCTCAGCTCCCTCAGGGGCTCGGTTGCCTGTGGGATATGCAAGGAGAGGCAATAAGTTGAATAGGAGGAAATTCTACGGTTCTTGGGTTCTTCCTTGGATCTGCCATCTTCAAAGCCTGGTTCTTTTATTACTTGTAATATTTCTTTCCTCCTGCTTCCTCCCACCCAGTGCGGACTCTCCCAGAAGCACAACAAGTTGTACGAACTGTGTCCTGTGAGATTTTACTGTCCCACAGGTTTTTCACCAAGAGGATGATGGCTATCAGCATATATTGTTGAACTAGTCAACAAAATGTGGCTTCCAGCATATACCATGCTGGACTTTTTCCACTTCTGTGTCTTTGCAGCTGTGGGAGTTGGTGGGTGGCTGCTTGAGGGCCTCATTAACAATTTACACATTTAATTCTATACATCTTTCTCATTTGCAGTATTAAACTCTCCAAGCACTCTCAGGAAGTGGGGAGAGAAGTTAAATTTAGTATTTACAGTGCTTCTCAGTAACACTTTTGAAGGACTAGATCGCGCTCAGGAAAGCAGCAATCTTTCCGTACATGACAGAACATTTGTCACTGGCAACACACCCTGTTTGGTCCCAGATCCCATTCTCAAGGCTCTGCATCACGGTGCCATGTTAATACAACACAGTCTGCTAATCGCTTCTTTCTCATTGCCTCTGGGCTTTATGAAGCAACTACAATTTGTATTTTTGTCTATTTTTCTTTCTGTTGTGAACTTTAAACATGGGGGGGTGTGAGACAATGGAGCAGAAAAAAATCTTTTCTATACTACAAAATGGTAGTAATACAGCAAACAATGTCAAAAGCAGAAACTGATGAGATCAGGGCCTTAAAAAAGGTGCTGATGGGGTGAACTTTACTGATTAGATGTATAAGCAGCAGAAAACATTGGTCTGACATTTGATCCTCCAGAGAGGGATGTTTTGGATTCCCTTAGTACATATTAATGCAAAAAGTATGGCTAAAGATTCTCCTGGCTCCGGGGGGATGCATCACAGAGTATTGCTTTCTCATCATTTGTTGATAGAAATCCTGTTCCTTTTGAGATGTGAAGAGAGAAAGTATTTATTATCAAGATAAATGGATACTTACATTTTCTGATATATAGTGTTGTGTATTACTCAAGTCCAGAGACACCATTTTTTTAACACTGTAATTTGAATGTTCTGGAACTGAGGCCAGCCTCTCTGTTGTTCAGCCAAGGAGCCACCTATCACTGGTTAGGAAAGGCTTGAAGTATCTGTTTTATGCTTCCAATGAAGAGCAGCCTCTCCACTTTGGGGCTGTTGATATTGCTAAACTTCCCAAAGTGTTAAGCGAGACCCCCAAGGAGTGAAAGCAGCCATTATGTTCCTGTTTTATGTTTTGTATAAGTTTTTGTCTAATATGTGCCTTGTTCAAAACTCAGAGCCCCTGGGGCTTGGTTAGGGAAATAAGACTTCGGAGAGATTAAAACAAAATAATAACAGGGACAGAAAAACAGTTTCTATCAAACACTGTGCACTGTGCATGGCACTGGCAGCAGCACCACTTGCAACAGTTGCCAAACATACTCCATTACAGGACCCCATCTTCGGATCGCAGCACTGCCAGACTTGTTTTGGCTGACGTTACTCAGCTGGATGCCAGCCTCAGATTTTATGTTTGCTCGCATAAAAAAACATTCCTACAACTTCTAAGAAGGTCTATGGAAATCCTTGGAAGGCCTTGATACTTGGCAGGGGACATTATGTGATACTTGGTGGAGAAACACCTGAGTTTGGCAGATAAATTCTCCAAAGACACAACCCATGGTAAGCGTCCTCTGCCGTGGGGCTGAACGGCTGGAATGAGGCTTGCCCAGTAATTGCCTTTCCTGATCAGCAGTGCCAGAGTGCACAACCAAGAATGACAGTCTGTCTTTTCTTCACGTTCAAGGATGGTTAAGCAGGGAGAGGAAGGAGGAAATAACTCAAACGTGGGGATTTGGGTCCAAATGAAGGAGAGGACTAAAAGGGAGTCTGCAACAAGGACTTTGGGTGGACTGGAATAAAGAGGCAGGAACGCAGAGGGCTGGGAGCATAAAATGGGGGAAGGAGGTGGCCACCGAGATGTGAAGTTGAGGCAGGTCAGGGACTGAAATATGGCTCCAAGGTTGGGGATAAGGAGCTGGAAGGATGTTGGATGATGCACCAAGCCAGTCTTCAGGGATTAGGCAGATATTCTACTGCAAAATCACTTCTTCTGGCCAAAAGGCTGCTGTACTGCTGATGTGGAGAGTCAAATTGCTTCTATGTCGTCACTGTTGGTCTTCTGCAAATATCCCAGCCTGTTGTTCCCATCCTGCCTCCTCCATGGCTTAGACAAAGCACTGGCAGATGCCATTCTGTGCTGCTTGAAGAGCTGAGTGTGGGGGCTGGATGAGAGTAGAGGGAATGAAGCAGGTGGGATCTGAAGAGTAGAAGAGGACTCCTCCAGCAGCTGGATTTGGTCTTCTTCATGGTTGGATGCAGCAGGGCTGTCTGAACCGGGGAGATCATCATGGACTATCACAACTAGCAGAACTTCATCCTCCCAGTGCAGTTTTTCCAACAATCCCCCTCTTCCCAAATGTTCACTTTGTGACACTTACCCAGGGCAGGTCCAACAACTTTTCTGACTCTCTATCTCACAAAAAACCCACCAGCACATATGTAGCTTTGTAGCCTTCTCTGGTTGCCTTTAACCTCTCCCAAGCCTTCCCGAGTCTATTCAAGGGGCAATGAATGTTCTGCCACCCCAGCTGCAGTCTACAGGGGAGATGCAAAGAAGAGAATTATCAGTGACTCTACAGTGGTGAGAAAAATCCCTTCTGGAGATAGGGTAGACAGGCATTTACTCTGGTAGCAGAATTTTGAAGCTCTCTTTAGCCCATCTTAAACAGAAAAAATATTGCTGCTACACTTAGATCTAGTTCTAGTAAGAAGGACAATAAATATCCAAGCTGCATATAGAAATTTATTGTATTATGAATGTTGACTGAAATATTGCTCTTTCTGCAACCTTACCAGGGGCTGGTGTGTGCACAGCCGTGTCCGCCTGGAACATTTGGAATTAACTGCAGCCAGGACTGTCCATGCCACAACGGGGGACACTGTGATCCCGTGACAGGAAAATGCGTCTGTACAGCTGGCTATATAGGAGACAGGTAAAAATCAAAACCCTAAAGCCTTTAGTTCTAACCATGAATTGGCAATATTTATATCCCTTCTAGGACAATCTTACTCTCTGAAAAATGGTGCTGTGTTTCTATTGGTCCAATTAGGTTCATCCTTCTGAAGCAGTTCAAGCATTATAAATGTGGCAATGTTATTACTTTTTATTGGCAATGCTCTCCATTTACAGTTTTTTTTTAATATAACTTTTAAAATTTAATGGATTAAATTTAATTTAGATATTTACAGTGATAAATTTAATAGAGAGCATTACATGTTTACAAGATATGTAAATGAACTGTATTTATACACATTAATATCCTCGAGAGTAAGCAATGCAGCAGTTTAATGTTTCCCTCAGCCCCTCTGTGCTGCTGCAGCACTGATCCATCTCAGACACCAACAAAGGGTGATAAATCCTCAAAATTTATAAACGAGAGCCTTTACCCATAAATCGATCAGCGAAGATGATAATATTGTTTTACAAAGGCGTCATGGATTTAGCAAAATGACTACACAGCAAAGTCAAGGTGGGATTGTAACACGTGTTGGCTTAGCCCTCCAGCTAATCCTGCCAGCAGGGCTAACAATGGTGGGGAAGCTGCCCTTAAACAAGCTTTCGTATGCAGTTTTCACTAGGGGTTGGACTGTGGCACCAGGGTTTCCAGAGACCGTGGGCACAGCTCACTAGTTTATGCTATGCTAAAGCCCTTTCTCCTATGTCTTCCCTTTTTTTATTAGCTAGAACAAGCTAGTATCAGTATGCTGACATATGCTACAATTATACTTTTATGCAACAAAGCTCATTGGAATTTCTCATTTCTTGCTTCATTGTACAATTAGCAAGTCTTTATAGCATGCAAACAGACCAACCTTCAACACTGTGCTGGGGTTCAGAAGGCCATGTTCTTTCCCATTAAATGTGGAAGCTCCTTGTTTCCATTTTATCAACAGCGGTAATTGGAGGGGGCTCTGGAGATTATGTCAGGATTTGCATGTGGTTGAATATGGTGGAAATAATAATTATTTCAAATTAGTTTAGCAGAGAAGACATCAATGTGTCTCTCTTCCCCCATCCTACATCTGGAGACATTGATTTCAGCCATAGGGTACCCTGTAATTACTGCTGCTAACCAAAGCTTTCTCTTTCTCTCCTTTTGGAGACAATTTCACTAAAGTAAGCAACTGTGCAGCCTGGGTGCTTATACTGGTGACCACACTTCAGTCGCAAGCCGTCCCCAGCCCTGGCCGTGCTCAGGAAGGCTGACAGAGGCCCTCTGTCCCTAGGTCTCCTCATTTGGTTGTTGCAGACCTAGATCAATTTCTGGCTGTAGGTGAATCAACAGCGTTAGAGCTGTCGGGAGCTCCCAGCCAGCAGCCTGCAGCTGAGCCAGCTTCTTTGCTCAACTGCCAATATAGCCCCCAGCCGCGAGGGAGGACATGCAGCAGAAGAGTTGGCTCTGCTACAGGCATGTGGCACAGGGAAAGAATGATGTTGGAGCTGCTGAACTCTGCCCGCAACACTTTTACACACTCCAGCAGTAAGAGCAGAGAAAGGACCTTTAGGGATGAGGAAAGGAGATAGCAAGTAGAAAGCAGAAGACCTAGTTCTGCCTGCTGACAAAAGCAGAGGTTTGTGCCACTGATCCCCCTTAGAGAGGGGCTGGAGAAGGCGGCTCAGGGAGAGACTGAGCCGAGGAGGCACTACAGGGCAGGCCTGACAGGAGTTCACAAGAATTGTCCTTGAGCAAAGTGGGAGTGTGGGCTCTTCAGATCTGTACTTGGAGAAAAATGAGAAAGATTTGGACTCTAGAGAGAGGTGTGGCTTGGGAAAACAGAAGCAGGGAGGGAGAAAATAAGGCATGATCAGCTGGAACAGGTGGAAAAGAATCCAAGGGAAGGTCTCACTGTGGACCTGCACCCAAGCAAAACCCTTAGGAATGGTTCACCTGCCCCCTCCTGGAGCAGGGCAGTAAAAGGCAGACGCTGAAGGCAAAGGAGCAGAAATGCCGGCTGGATGAATGAGAAGGATGAACGCTGGGAGGATGAATGAGAACAGGAGAAAGTCAGGTCAACGGGCAGTTCAGAAAGCTTTTCTAGCAGCAGGGAAAAACTGTATTAGCCTAGAAATTTCCAGCTTTCAAAGAGGTTCTCAGAAGGTTAAAACGTGTTTATCTATCAGCCTTTAATCAGCCTGCAATAAGGGAAGTGAAGCCTTAGGCCCATTATATTCAATTGGAGTTCTGCCTCTCCCTTGGGCTAGGACAGCACACTGCCTGTAATGGTTTGTTCTGGACAGGCGTGCGTCCCCTTACCTCGCTGTTAACTACAGTTAGCTAATGGTAGATTGCCCATTGATTTCAGTGAGGGCAGGAACAGGCACAAGGTCTTTAAAAAGTCTAAATTGCTTTCCTTGGTTATGTGTTCATACAGCATGGACAATGGGACAGATTAGTCAGCACCATTTTAGCTTAAAGTCTATTTTACTTTCTGGATCTCATACAACTGTTGCAGTGTTAGAGCGTAATTGCAAATATAGCAGGAGAATGCTGCTGCACAAAAAAATGGTGTTTTCTTTAGAATTTTACAAGGCGCTGAAAAATTTTTCTTAATAATAACAGATATTGTGAGTAACAACAATAAAAACATAAACACACTTTATCTACTATCATCTTTTTTAATTGTCAATAAGCACTATATAATACTACAGTTTATTGTCTTGTGCAGGAGATGATACCATATAGTTAGATAAATATTTGCAGAGATGAAATGGTCATAAAGGCCTGTGTAAGTGTAATTGCCACGCTTTGTACCCTACCTGTTTTCCAGGCAGTGGCACTGCACTAAATATCTAGGAAATTGGCAAGTGCTATTAATAACTCCAGGAAGCTTTGTGCCCTGCAAAAATGACTGGATGTGTCATGTAAATGTATGTTTTGCAAACTGGAATAATAGCAGAAGCACAGTGAGAAGCTGAGGATGGGGTGTCTAAGAATTCAGTGGCTGACAGGAAAAGTGAACATACTGTTTTAGCTTCGTTTGCCATATTGCCATTAAACCTAAAGATTGAATCTTTACAGAATAAATACCACATTTGTTATAACAATTGGAGCAGACTTATTCTCTTGTTGTTGTGTTTGTACCTGTATCTTTTATCAACAGAATGGCAATCTCCAGGTTAGTGTATTTTGGATAGCTTATAATATTTGTCTGTGCTACATAAATGCGATCGCTGTTTCAAAACAAACAAACAGAAAAGCCTAAAAAAACTTTACAGCATTATTCCATGAAAAAAATTTATCTGGAAAAAATGTAGGTGTATGTACTAAGTTCATCTGTTAAGCTGGCTGTCTTATGTTTAATATTTTGTGAAATTGCTTCCATTAATTCTACAGGTGACAGCCATATTATCCTATCCCAACCCAAATAATTATAGTACATATTAAAGTTCAGTGGATATTATAATACGAATCTCCCCAGATAGGCAGAAAGCAATGTAAATTAAACAAGAAACATAACTAGGGCTTAGCAGCTCATTTTGTAATTTAATTGAACAATGTATCTGGTTGTTAATGGTGCTATGGACACATTAGATTGATATGTTGCAAAGGAAAGATGTTTAAGTAGAAAGCTACTTCCTGCTGTGATTATTCTTATGTTCCAGAGGAGTCATTATTAGTATTCTTTGTATAAAATTCATTAGCGGTAGCTGCTTGATCTCCAAATAAATAAGTTGGTTAAATTGTTAGTAGAAAAAGGCTAATTATGTAAATGGATTAGGTCGTCAATATTTCATTTCCAGATGCTTTTCTCCCTGCTAGGTAATGCTTCATCTTCTATAAATATAGAATGATATAGTGCACTATTGACTAAGTATTCATCTCGTTGAGTACAGTGCACTCCTGCTAACTAGTAGAGCTGTATACAGCAATGGAGACAGAAGGCATCTTAATACGTTCTTCATTGCAATTCATTTGCTTTAAGTGTTTCAGTCCTAATGTTACCCATTCTTTTCTGGTTATTTCCTTTGCAGCTGAACTACCCTGAGAGCAGCAGGGCTTGCAGCCAGTACCGCGAGTGATTCTGGGTCTCAGATGAACTCCTGAACTTGGATTGTGGCACTAGTAACTGTGTTGATGCTTGCTGCAATTAAATCACTCGCTAGGCCTTTTGCTTTGTTCATTTATTTTTAGTAAAATGTGATAATCCGAAGCCGCAAAAGCAATGCTCTTATATACTGACTGTGTTCATTGCAGTTTTGCCTGGCTTGCATCACGCATTAATCTTTTATTACTGATCATTATATTAACTCTCACCTGCCAGCTGTGAAATGACCTGCAGAAAGACATTTAACAATTGCCTCTACCGACTGAGTTTACAGTATACACTTTAATCAATGCTCAGGATTAAATTAATGCTGATAGGCAATTTCCAATATCTGGCATCCATGCGATAAGGGAATTGGGCTTTTCTGGGCTGCTTTTTCTCTTTTTTGTTAACTGAAAAGGCCTATCTGTATGTCACGGTGGATCTTGTAAACTGCAGTACTGACTCATTGCAGAATTTTGAAACCACTGAATTATGTCAAGCACAACATCAGTTGCTTTCTTCAGGACCTTAGTTGAGCTTTTCAAAGTAGGAAATATTATGAACACTGAAACTGGTTGTGTAGGACAATGAAACAGACTTTCTGGCAGATTTCATAATGTATCCAGGAGGCAAATATTTTAAACAGTGCATGGAAGGTGCAATTTAAACCAATCTGTGTATAGCATTTGCAGGTTCCATTTTTATGTGTATCAAATATTAAAAATGTTGGCAATTTTGGAGAAGATACTACACGAAGGAGCGTGAAAGTGATTTGTCTTGAGATTTTATACTACTGAGCATCCCTGGAGAAAGAGATGAAAAGCAAATTTGAGCTTTAGTTACTCAGAACACACACAAAAGACAAAGGAGTATATTTTCTCCTAGTTGGTATAAAGCTGGTGCAATGACAGCATAGAGGGAAAGTAAAACTATACGTTGCTGGAGAACACTTTACTCAAGATTGCTTAATAGACCACATTCCCTTTCAATCCTCATTATCACTAAGAGGACCGTATGCTTTTAAAGAAGGTGCACAATCCTTCTGTAATAAAGAGAAAGCAAACAGATGAGGGGTTTTTTTATAAAGTATCTTGTTCTATATCAGTTTCTTATGGTTGATGAATGGAATTGTCATGGTCCAGGAAACAAGAATGCACTTTGTTAACTAAGGTAATATTAACTAATGCAAATTTTACAGGATATAATTGGACAGAGATTAATGCACTTTCAGTTAACAGCAATTTACATGCCCAAGATATCACATCACTCTGATGATATCATCAGTTCACAGTATATTACTTAAATAAATGAGCAATGATTCTGTACTTAATTCATTAACAAAAACATTCCTGTGTAAAAGTCATAAGCAGGCTAGACTAGAGCATTTGATTGGATCCTGTCTCACATATTTCATTGCAGGTGTCAAGAAGAGTGTCCTATTGGGACATACGGCTTTCAGTGCACACAAAGATGTGACTGCCAAAACGGTGCCAAGTGTTATCATGTAAATGGAGCGTGTATGTGTGACCCTGGATTTAAAGGGATTTATTGCCAAGAAAGAATGTGTCCAGAAGGGTTTTATGGCCTCAAATGCAACAAGAGATGTCCTTGCAATATTACCAACACTCTCAGGTATGTACATCGTATTATGTACTAGTGCAGGGACTGGTCAAATAAAAGCATTGGGAAAAAATTCAATTAACTACACCTACTCTCTTTTCTCTGTAGCTTTAATTAAGAGCACAGACAGTTCGTCTGGATTGCAACCTTTGATTTAAATCACCTCAGGTTTGGAACCATAAGCCTCAGTCCAGCCAGCTACTAAGCATGTATCTGTTAACTAACAGTTCTGCTAAAACCTGAAACAATCTGACATGTGGCCTTATCCTGTAACTTCAGTCTTCTAGGCATAAGAACTATCACATGATGCCCATATGTATGTATAATAACCCACTGAAGTTTAAAAAATTGAGATAGATTTACTCAAATCCATCATTTTGGCTCTTTTTATGACACGGGTTTTCTTGTTAGATCTATAGACAGCAAGGGGACTTTCAAAATGAAACCTAATTTGCTTCAGTTTATGTCTCGTGGCAAATTACCTTGTTGAAAACACTTGAGGCAGATGTATAAATAGATTGAAATCAATATCCCCAAGTCAGTCTGTGGAACTGTAACGAAGTCGACATTGTCAAAATAGACATCTCTTCTCTTCTCATGTGTGCCTATTTTTGCTCTTCATTCAGTACGTGTATGTGTGAAATATTCAGGAAAATAAATATCAGGGAAGTATATCCAAAATGGAAAAAGCCTCACTTAAAAGGTCAGGTTTCGGTGCTTTATTCCCTTTTGGTTTTTTTAGGATCTGATTCTTGAGGTTCTCATTACTAAGAGCTAGAGCCACAAACAGACTTGAGCACCTAATATGAGATAGGTTGAGTTTACTTTCCCGTTGCAGGCTTGAATAAGTTTTCTAAACCCTGAAAAAAGGAAGAATTTAAGACTCTTCCCTATTATCCTGTTACTTTTTGTAACTCCTTGCCTTGTTTACTGGCTGCTGGAATTGCTATTTGGAGATTCCTCACTCCCTCACACACAGTAAAGGGAGCCTGGACAGCAAAACCACCCTGGCCTGAGCTATTCTGATGGACTAGAGTGCCCACGTTTCCTTACCATGCCTGCAAGATGCTGAGCCCCTCAGCTCCCACTTGATTCCCTCCTTTTCCTGTCCATTACTGTTAAGCATTCATAGCCAATTCAGGATTGTGTAGGCTTCAGAGGGAGGTAGGGATAATTGATGCCCAAGCAAATATGCCCTTGATACGGACATTCTTCAATTTTAAACCAGACAGGTAGGGACCTGACTGTCTTGCTGATGATGACAAACCTACCTTGCAATCTTGCAGCCTGCTAAAATATAAACACTCTCCTCAATTATGTATGCAAGCAATACCACCTAATTTGTGTGCATGCACACACACACATACACACGCACAAACACTTCAGGCAAATCTGTTTGTGTGCTTGAGATAGACTCTATTTGTCTCAGTCTTGGAAATAAACAGGTGATCTTTCTTGTGAATTCAAGTTCAACTGGGAGCGGTGAGATTTTGCTTAACTGAAAGTCAGAGCTCACAATGGATTATTTAAAAGCCTTGTAATTCTGATGATAGGAGTCCTCCGCAGAAAGATAGCTCTAGCTCTACTGGGTTTGACAGCGAGCATCCAAAGTGTTCCACACCTCAAAGGTAGCACTGTACAACAGGCTTCTATCACTTCTGATTATTTCGTGTATCAGGAAATCATTGCAAAAAATAACATCCCTAAGGCATGAGCCAAGCATTGTATACAAAAGCGTAATGTTGTGTTGTACTGAGGATAGGGGATGTCTCAAGAATTCCTGCAGAGTGAGCTAAGGTATAAATTCCTGCGTGTCACACTACTCTGCAGTACCTGCCAGCATGCCCGACTCAAACCTGCGGTAAATACAAGGTAAACTGCTCCTCAGTGAAACCTGTTCTTCTTGTGTACTGGAGGGTGAGAATATGCTCTTGGACAGCAGCTGACACAGTGTGTCCTCACCCCCTCTCCTAGCCTGCAGCAACCTGTTTGTGTGCCCATTTTCCCAGAAAGGTGTAAATAGAGTGGAAGGACTACAGGCCACGGGCAAGGCTGAGCTTGGCTGCTGTTTCTCAGCTAACTGCTCAATTCATTAAGTCCTTTAAGTCGGGGGAGATAGTGGGTTTAAGGGTGCAAGAATTCATCCTGAGTCACTCAGAGAACTACCTGGGAGATGCTCTGGGGGTTCGCCAGAAGATCCTTCCTGTAAGAACAGACTAGCACCATCCAGCTGTGAAGAGAGGTGAGGGCTCAAGTTTGAAAGAGCTCAGAAAGGTGGAGGATCGAATCCTCTCTCGGCTCTTTTCTGGGCACGTGGTCATTCTTGCATACCGTGTACCTGACCTGTGCCTGGTTGCTGTCTGACAGATATATTTTATGCCTTCCCTCCCATCACTGCTCCGTCAGCTTCACTTGCAGCATCCTCTGCTAAGATGGTATCTCCGTTTCCTTAATAAATGAGTCTAGTCTCTCCATTGATAAAATCTCCCTTTTTCTTACATCTTATCACTGCTGTTATGGAACAAAGAGATATCAGCAAGCTGTAGATCTGTAAATGTTCTTTCATTCATCCATGGTATTTCAGCTTTCCACTTTTCAATGAGCATCTCCGAGTGCTGTCAATTTCTGAGCTGAGGAATGTCAGAGTTGATGGAAAATGACCTTCTCCAAAGGCACTCCATATTCTGAAAAATCTTTTTACTGATTGTTTAACCAGTCCCATACAGCACACTTCTCTTCCCACCCACCTCCTCCCATTCCTCCCCTGAATTTTTATCATCATGGGAACTGTGGTCTTCCGAAGTGATTCGTTTGCTGACAACTGTCTATTTTCCCCAGAAGCAGTTTAAACGGTTGGGTACTTGTTGCGATACCTAAGTGTATAGGATAATTATATAAACACTTGGAAGAAGGTGAGGGAAGCTTGCTTATTTCTGTCAGTGGTTTTGACTCATTTGATCTGGTTATTGGAGAGCTGACGGGAACGGAAAGTTCTGGGGACTTTGAGGAGCAGGATGGGGAGGAACATTAAGAAATACACAATCAGCTTTTCTATTTTCATAGATCTATCTATTTTAATGTCTGAAGAGACCAGTGTGATCATCTAGTCTAGCCTCCTGCATAGTAACGGCTGAAGAACATCATCCAATAATTTCTGCATCAAAGCACGCTGAAAGGCACTTTGTACAGGACTTTTGAACAACCCCAGAATTAGGTAATTTAGAATGCGCTGCTGACTGGGACTGTCCTTCCACAGGGAAGGATACACCTGTAAAAAGTGTCCACATGCAAAAAGCCCATGTTGAGACAGTGTACAACAGGCAGAAAGGCATAATCCTGGCTTACTCTTCTGAAAAGTAGAGGGGGAAATGAATAGCTGGAATAGTCTCAGCCACCCACCCTTCCTGAACGCTGGCGTGGAGCCAGCGTGCGGAGCCTTTAGTAATGTCTTTCCCAGGTCAGAGACGTGAGAAGGGAAGGAAGGCACAGTCACCTCTTAAGCCTTGGCACTTTCCTACTGTGACGAAGTCTAATGAAATGGATAGATTTCCAGAGGCTCTAATTATTGCCTCAACACTAAAAGTTTGGAAGGACCAAAGTCCATGGACCTTACATGAAGTTTTGCCTTGGCCTAAATCAATAATGCGCTTGAATGGGGCTGGCTTTGAAGACGTGCTGGGCTGAAGTAGTGGCCCTACAATCTCATTGTGGCTACTTCTTTAACAGCAAGAGGGCATTTTAGTAAGGGAGACTGAATGTAGTATCGACACCAGAAGACAGAAAATACTGTCAAAAAAGGATTAGGGCTGTTGTTAATTAAGATGAGATGACTGGTGCTAGTGTATAAACAGAAAGTCGAGAAATTCACTGGGAAGAAGTTGTTTTGGCTGAAAGATGTCTGGAGAACAAATTCAGAATTTGGAACAGACTCTGCTGTCTAAAGCATTTCTTTTCCCAATTTGCCTTAAGAAAGTTAAATTACCTGGTTTCCTCAGATTTCCTCAAAATTAGATGCTTAAAAAATGTACAGGTCAAAAATTACCTTCTGTTTTTCAGTTCAGCTTGTAAATTTAAAAAAATAAATCTTTTATTGCTGTAAATGTGACTCAAAAGCCAGGGACCGTACAGCAGCTTCCAAGCTGCAGCAAGAGCGATGGAACAATTTCCTTCTCATGCCATGTTGTGCGCTGTGGACAGCTTCCAGTTCCCACCTCTACTTGGCCTAGTGCCGGAGAAACACTTGGCTGCTTGCATTCACTCTAGGTTTTCTACACTATTCCTTCCTGTTATGCAAGAGATTTGAAGAAATAAAAGTTGTTAAGATTCAATGCAAAATACTAATGTATAACACTGCCAAACTCTTTCAAGAGTGTACGGTTCCCTTCCTGCTTGCAGCAAGCGGTTGGAAAGCAGATGTTAGTGGGCTTGCCTTCTGGGATCCTTTCAGAGGCCTCACGTTGTCCTACCCATCCGTTCAGTGATCCTTCTCCAGAGGAATTGTTTGTGTTTCTTAATTTTGGTTTATTGGTGGCATGGAGAAGTGCCTTACACATGCTGCACCCCATGCTGGCAAAATGTTACATGAACTCATGACCTTGAAAGGTACATTCAGAACCAGAAGGAAGGAATTATATGAGAAATTCACATTGCTAACTGTGTTTCCTATTCTTTATTTAACACATTTGCCATTAAGTGCCTCAAACTTTTCAACTTCAATGCAGCTAGTGCTTAGTTCACTGGGTAGACTAGATGCGTACACGGCTGGCTGGATGACAGATGAGTTTCCTAGCTACAGTTATTTGCCTAGGCACAGAGTTTAAACAGAATGAAATTTTACAGAATATCAATATAATAAGAGAGAAGCATTCTTAACTCACCCATACCCGCATATGTATACTATTTCTACATCATGAGCTGCAATATATTTAGTATGTAACTCTGATGATTTTAATTACTGGAATAGTTCATACATGCCAGAATGGAAAAAACAATTAATAACAAAAATTTACTACTATTTAGTGATATCAGCTGCAGATCTTAAAAGGGATTCCAGAGGAAGAAGGGCATCATTTTACAGATGGGAAAGATGAAGGCAGAAAGAGTAAATTACATGGCCAAGACTCACTGGCAGGACTGGGAAGAGAACAGCTGCCTTCTGAATTTTGGTTAAGCATCTAAATCACAGCCATCTTCAGGTTAGCACTGCATCAGAGCACCTTAATTGTCAAACAGGTGTTTGTGATTCAGGGCGTTGCATTCTTTGTATCTGAGACGTCTCCTCTGTCCCCTGGTTGGACATAGCCTGCAACCTCATTTCAGACTGAGCTATGTAGGTTTGAGCTCCTTTGCCTTGTTATGCTACCATAACACTACGGTGTGCGTGATTTATTCTGCTGCCGTCAAGGAGAAGTTTCCCTTCCCCTGCTGTACAGTCTATTCACCAACTGTTGCTGCCTACCCAGAACTATTGTTATGGGTGTCATAACTCTGGAATTTAGTGTGGAGGATTTTTCCTAATCCTACAATGCCAGCACTCTGTAAGACAGCAAAAGATAAGTGTATCAAAGCACTGCAGGACTACAAGTGCTTGGCCTAGAAGAAAAACAAAACTCTGATATGCTCAGGCTGATAATAAAATTGTTCATGCTTCAACAGGAAGATTATATGGATGCAGGGACCCAGACTTCTGCATTGGACTTTTCCTAGCTCATAGCCTCATAAAAGAGTGGAAAAAAGCTTTAGGGGGGACAGAATATGGCCTCAGCCTTCTACTGGACTTTGGTTTGGAGTTCAAGCCCCCTGCTTCCTGCAGACTCTTCTGCAAAGCCTGTTTGGTTCTTGCTTCTTATTTGAGTGCATGCTAGGATGATTTTTAGTCCTTAATACATAGGTTGCATCCCATGCAAAAAAGCTGTCCATTTTGATGAAGGAGCCAACCTTGGAGTAGAAATTCTTACCGAGTATAGTACTTTCAGTGGAATTGTCGTAGACTGATTCAAACTGCCATGATCATATATTACATTTGAAAGATTTAATTTAGCCAGCAGATGCAGTTCTCATGGAACCATATGATACGTGCAGTAGTAGTGAAAATAGAGAAACAAAAATTCCACTTTAAAATATTTCTTTAATGTTTAGCTTTCTGCTCCTATTAGGTAATGATTAATAGATGCAGAGGGGGGAAAAATGAGCTTTTATTATTTTCATCTGAATGTTAAGAGGTGCTTTGTGAACAACCATAATTTCAGGGACTGCTTTGTCAGAAGAATTTCATGGATGGTAGTTTGTTAAGCTGATGAATTGTTTTAATTAGTCAGTAAAACACTATTTATGATGAAACATATGACACTCACAAAATTTGATCATTCTTAGTCACAACAGTATGTGACTAACCTCTCCTACCAGTAATTGCCAGAAACATACTTGGAAATTACGTTTTATGAGGTTACCTTGAAAATTAACATATACGATATTAATTTTATAGGTGTAAAGAAACCCATTCAGTCATGTCTGCAATACTAAGCTATAGCAATAAATAATCATAAAGGAAAAGAAATAGTTTCTACGAGGCAAAAAAACAGGAGACAGGTCCATAGAGAGGTGCCACCTTGCAGAACTGTTCTTTCTTGTTCCGAGAATAATAGAGAAAATCTGATTTGTAGCAATATTATTTCTCATCTTTCTCACTGAGGGCTAGACAGTGCTATTATGGTACAATCTTGTGGTGCAGAGGCCCTCAGAGCACACCGAGCTCTGAAGGGAAGCCTTACATTCCTAGCTGACCTCAGACAACATGGGGTCCTTTTCCAAAGGTCAGATTCCCTCTCCAGCCCCTGCTCTCTCTTTTGACCACCTCATCTCCCCAAATTAGATATCCCCCTGTGCTCTCCCTTCCCATCCCCCAGAAATCTCCATCTCTTCAAACCAAGACTTAGCACATCTCCAGCCTTCCCCTCCTCTCCTAGCCCCCAGCCCCAGCGCGGCTCTCCTGCTGTGGGAATTTAGTGCCCTAAAGAAACCAGGGAGGTGCTCTTTCTGTTTGTAGAAGAGAAAATGATGAATAAACTGTTTCATAGCAGGAGGAACACAGGGGCACGTCTTCCACCTACCAGATGCAGAAGGACCAGGCATTGTCCGGCCTTTTGGGCTTGATTCTTCTTTCTACTTTTCTCTCTGTGTGCTCTCACAACACTGTGGAATTGTCTGAATAGAAATGAAAGCCAGAGGATTAATGTTGGGCAGCAGTGCTCATTATTCAGCATAAAGGAACTTGACTCATTTCCCTGCACAGCTGAGATTTAGTCCCAGGGCTCCTGTTGACTCCTGCCCCAAATAAATCCCAAGGCTTCAGGTAGTGATCAGTTCTGTTCACTATGGCTGAATGAATATTCCCTGCAAAACTCTTTTTCCAAGGAGATTTTTCCCTTCCAAAGCGCTTTCCTTTCTACCTCTCCCTGCTAAAAAGTTCTGCTGAGGTGGCACTTACTTTTAGAACACAAATAAGACTAGACCAGACCAGACCAGACTAGAATAGACTAGAATAGAATATTTGTGCCAGAGGACTCAGATTTGTCTTCGCAACTCCCTTGACTGCAGTCCTCCATCCGTTGGAATTTCTCTTAACCCTGAACGTCTTTAACTGACTGTATTACAGCCAAATAATATGGCACATATACGTCATAAAACAGTATGGATTAATTGTGCTGTGGTTAATGTCAATAATCCAAGCCACATCCATTTGAGAATGGAAAAGCATAAACTTCAAAGATGTTAAAATCACCAGTGCTGTGGCAGTTCCCAGATGTTTGGAAGTGGCGTGCAGGGCTGGTATTTAGCACCGTATTCCCTATTCTCTTCCTAAGTTATATGGCTGCTTATGTTCACTATCCTTAACGGTTTTCAGGTTTGTTCTCTTCTTAGTGTGACTCTTGCTGGCATTGCATGTAAAATGTTCTACTGCTGTTTACGGACTGTATTTTTCTCTCATGTCCACATCTCACTGTCTGTCTGTCTTCATTAGTTGCCATCCGTTGTCTGGAGAATGTAGCTGCAAAGTTGGCTGGGCTGGACTCTACTGCAATGAAACCTGTCCCCCCGGCTACTACGGCGAAGGCTGCCAGCTGACCTGCCCTTGCCAGAACGGTGCAGATTGTGACAGCATCACAGGGAAGTGTACGTGTGCACCGGGATATATGGTAAGTGAGAGCTGTGAATAATGGGGCATTTCGTAAGGTACCTGCAAAAAAATTAATGAGGATTTTAATCTGTTTTCAAATAATGCTTGCATAAAAGTGGCCAAATGCAGGTAGTTTTTCCCCATTCTATTATTAAAGTCCACGTAATTCTCCTTTGAGCAGTGCCAGCTTATTACTTCTGGTTATTTACTTAACATCAGTATTTTATTACTGTTATAAGGATAAAGACATGGTTTCCCGTCGTATATTCTAAGTCAAGACATAACAAAAAAGATGTCAGATTATTGTCTGCCTGGAAAAGCAGAAAAAGAATTCTCATGGCCTTTCAGCATGTTCCTTGTCAGTCACACTGTGATTTTAATAGATGAAGATCTTTTAAAATGTTACAAATGATAGAGCAATTTATGTCTTTTCTGAGCATATATGGCAGGTGTCTTTTACCTGAGCATCAGAAAGAGCTTCAGATATTCTGAGGTAAACAAGCATTACATTTTATAGGTGAGATATAAAATGGCTGAAGAAATCAGCCAAGATGAAACAACAAAAATTCAGAATTAACGATTGCCAGGTTGCAGCAGAAAGTATTAGGACATGGATCCACATGTCCAGTCCTGCTGCAGCTGGGCATAATGAAACTCTTGCTAGTAACTTCCCTGATCATCCATATATGAAACACCTCTCTACTTCAGGAGCACACCATGGAAGAGATCTGCAGGCTATGTTTAAGAAACAGTATTTCCTAAAGAAAAAAAATATTTTCAGGAGAGAATTCCACCACAACTTCATTAGCAGTTGTCTTTCTGTGATTTGCATCCTTAATTTTACATGGTCTGTTTCCACAGGCCTATCTATATGTTTTCTGTACTATTATAGTAATTATTAGTTATAATTACTAAGTTTACTAGAAATCAAGCTTCAGATTCAAAGACATTGCCAATATTTTTAGAGCTTCCACTGACATTTAGCAGCTAACTAAAATGCGCAGCCTCCTAGATGAGTTTTACCCTCTATTGTTTTAAGTTACAACTTCAAAATGAGATGAATAAATATCTTCAAATACTAGGGAACATGAGATGTGATCTTTGACCATGCTGTAGCTCTTTGATTTGCATTTGTAAAACATGGTGGACATTGTACCAGGTAGCTTTAGGAACAACGGGAGGGGAATGGCATGTTGGATCTGGACAGCAGAGCAGCCACGTCCTACCATCAGCACCCACTGCAGTGTTTAGGGTTTTCTTGAAAAAATGTTGCAGTATTCTGCAGGGGCATACACTGCTGTCGTCTACAGGGGAAGGCTGCACGGCTGTCTGACAAGATCCATAGTGTGGGAGTCCTATATGAGGTTAGTGGGATGCTAAAGCCTTTTTAGCCTCCCTCCCTTTTAAATCCACACCTGAGCTTGTGATCACCAACTGTCACCTCCAGAACTGTGGAACTGGAGTTATGGCTTAAAGACACTTTTGTTCTCTGCTTCATGTCAACAGCTGAACCTGAAAGTTGGAGCTTCCATCTAATTTCCAGGGGTTCTCTCAATGCCAGGTATAAACACATGTATTTAGCTGAGAGGGGTAGGACTGTCAAAAGCATCTATGCAAGACACTAGTACTTAGAGATGTAAAAAAAAAAAAAAAAAGGGGCTTGAGGTTTGATTCCCCACTCACTTACACTATCAGAAAATGAGAAGTTATCTTCTCTATACAGGGGTGATACACAAGTATTAATATAAAGTGGAGGAAAGAATGAAAAAAGGGGCTTGAGGTTTGATTCCCCACTCACTTACACTATCAGAAAATGAGAAGTTATCTTCTCTATACAGGGGTGATACACAAGTATTAATATAAAGTGGAGGAAAGAATGAAGGCAGCAGCACGTTAGTAACAAATGCAAAATAAAAAGATACCGAGATCCTCTTTCTTATCAGGAATGCTGTTCAAGTTTGCAGCACAAAAATATTTTGGGACCCTTTACTGTACACATTTTAAAAAAAGCCTAGTTTGTCCAATATATATTGCTCCAAGACAGTATTATTGCAGGCATGAAGTCTGGGAAGTTCCTATTGCATTGCTTCAAAATAATATTTAATCTCATAATAAAGAGCTTTCTTGCATTGACATTTAAACAGCTTGGTTATTGAGGATAGCTCTATAATCACCGAAGCATATTTAGGCATTAGTATCATTGCTCTCTCGTAATATACTATAATCTCTGGCAATTAGTCCATGAGGGGAAGTAAAGCCTTGAAATTGCTAATTTATTGCCTCTGAAGCATATTTGTCATTCGTATGCATGCCAGATGACTTGAGTTGCAATGGTTCTTTCAAATGCTAGAGAACATAGGCTGTAAAGAAAACTTGACAGGAACCTTTACTTCCTACCCCGGAACGGCGGCGTCCTGCCGAGCTGCTCTCGCGGTACGCTCCATCGTCTGGGCGGGGAGAAGGTGTCAGCATTGCTTCACGACGCAGCCTGCAGGTCACGTGAAAGATGCTGTGGGGCCAGAACCCTCTCAAGGCTTGAAGTGGCTTACCTCAATGACACACTCAAGACCAGACTTTGCCTTCAAATATGCATGCATCCCTCTTGCTGAGGCAATGGGGAGCTTTGCCTGCGGGTAGAATTTTGCCCTTGAATTCGGCTAGCCTGCAAGCGAGTGGCGCGACTGTTCATGAATGCAGGATGTCTCTTTTGGCAGTGCTGACAATACAGTGATGCTAATACAGAACTGGGCAGAGCTAATTATTCAGAAAAGCCATAAATTAATCGCTCTTGGTTTTTCTAGCATGAGGCTTGGCTGATGCAGCTACAGGGTCAGGAATTTTGCCATATGATTAGAAAGAATGAAAGTGGGATCAACATCTTACATTTTACACAAACATTTGATCTACACATGATTTTATATAGCAGAGCAGGCTGAGGGGTTTCTAAGTAAGGGGGGAAGGAAGAGAATATGATGGGACATGGGATATAACTGCAAAATCTGACTGCAAAGGCAGAGAGGTTGCACCCATAGGACTTTTGGGTTACTGGATGCCTAGAAAACATAGTCACCAAGAAATTACAGTCCTTTCCTGACAAAGCACTCCTCCAGCCCACTTCTTTTGCACAGATGGCTTGTTTTTTAACTGTGCCCTGCCTCGGCTGTGTCAGGGCAGCTGGGCAGGGTTTCAGAATGAATCATCTGCAATCGCAGCCAAAACAGGGACATTTTGTTGGGATGCAGAACAAGCCATTAAAAACACAAAGCATCTGGTCACCTTTATTAAATGTATTAAGTAGAAAGGCAGCCATCCCATAGGTTGCCATGTACGTGAGCAGAGCACTTAATTTTGGGGAGTTAAGCAGATTCAAGTTTTAAAATAAAAATGTACATTGTAACTCAGAAAATAATACACTATTTATTAGCTGTGACATTTCCAAAAATTCAAATGCCAAAGCTAAATATTGGTGAGCTTGCAGTTTTGGATAGAATTTCAAAACTTTTTATGTTGGGGTTTTTTTATTAGTATTTTGGGTCAGACTCAGTAACCAGATTTGCACATACCTAGCTCTGAAAACAAATTACACCATCGTAAAGACGTTATTGGGTACCGGTACAGGTTATTTGTGTGAGGTTCTGCTATGACTGTGCTCACACTAGGGAATTGCGCTATTTTGACTGTATGGGTGTCTAAACCATAGGGCAGGCACTGTGTGTAGATTTGACTAAAGAGGTAGCTGAGAAATCAGAGTGATCCACAGTCATTCCCAAAACAGCCCAGTTCTTGGAGGCAGCATACAGGACAATAAAAATAGGATAATAGGAGCAGAGGAGACACAACAAAGTCTTCTTCCCCAAAATCACAGAGCACGTCTAGAGCTACTCCTCATATGCTCCAGCAGTAGAGTCTGCACCGCAGGCCTGTTGGAAACCCTGTGCTTATTGCATCTCACTTGTGACGGGAGGATAAAGGTTGTATCAATTTAATTAAGATGATTGCAGGGAATCAGCACGATAAGCATGCCAATAGGGCTATTTCCCTGAAACTGGTATTTGTGACATATTTGAGGATTGCCTCTCAGTACTCATGTGATGAATTGCCAGTGATGCTTTTCTGAAGAATCGTTTTGAAAAGCCCTTCTGCTGCTGTCTTATTTGTGGCAAGAAGGAGTCTGATAAACACACAGGGAGTACACAAAGATTAGGCTTAAAAAGTATACAGGGAGATTCTTGACTGGTAGAAATTGGATCCTTACTCCCACATGCAAATAGTCGCTCCTTGCAATAAATTACTTGGATGCAATTATGGGGGTGGTGAGAGGGGTTATGCTAACTTGTACCTCCCCCTCCTTTCAAATTCTGCTTTAAGATGCTCTCCTACAAGCCCACTGAAGTCAGTTGTGCAGTAGGGACTTAAAAGAAACCAGGATTTACCCTGTCCTCTCTTCTTTTGTTTTTGGTTCAATGAATTTTATTCCTGTAATTCAATAAATGTGGTGAAGAAGGCCAGAGGATATGAATTAAATATGACAGGAGACCACAGGAATCCTGACCTTCTGTCTCACAAGGAAATCTTGAAACCAACCCCCTGCACATACCTATCAGCGTTCTAGCTACTGAAATAATTATAAATGCTATTGAAATACAACTAAGTTCACCTTCTCCATTGCACAGCTAATTGCAACTTTTCCTGAAAACAGTAGCTATCTAAAGACCTCATCCTGTGATATGCCTTTGTTTCTTTATGGGTGCTTTGTTTTCTTCCTTTGAAAAATGGATTTAACTTCAAATGCTTTCATTCTGTCTATTGTGGCAAGGACATATGTAGTTAAAACATTTCTCAGCCCAAGACACTCTGAGAAAACTTTAACACTTATCTATGGAATGTGCGGTCAGCTTTTACTTCGGTGGGCACTTAGGTCTATATTTCATATCTAGATGACAGAACTTATATTACTTTAAAGAGTTCATCTATTTATGCTGCAATTTTTTGAAGACCTGTCTGCTTTTATTGAACCCT